CTCTTCAAACCGGAAAAATTTGAAAACGGCAGCTTTGCGTTTTAGTGTGGACGGAAAACATTTTGAAAACAGATCTTTTCGAGAACGATGGCGTCACAATAATAATGTAATTTCTCTGACGGAGTGTTCATCAAACACAAATCCAAAATGACTGGTAATTGTTAGTTTTTCAAATTTCTCCGGTGTAAAGTGGACGGAAAACATTTGATGTATTTTCAGAGTGAAACGCCCGCTTTCAAATTTCTCCGCCGTAGTGTGAACGAGGCCTCAATGGGTTGTGGCGTTTCGAAAAATTTATCGTCTAGTTATCCCTTATTAACTTTCTTAGCGACAAATTTCTGTACTATTTCAGTTTCTTTATTGAACGCCGTTACCCATGTGTCAGTGGTCTTTTCAATGTCATGATAAAACAATTTGACCACATTTTGCCTTCGGCGAAATATTAATGAAGGCGGATAAAAGCATATAACGCTAACCGTTGAAGATAAACTCACGTGCAAGTTAAATATCCAAGCACTAAATACCCATTTAGAGAAAATTGCTTCTGAAACCTTTAGCAAAGAATTCAATTAGTTCTTACCTTCCGTGTTTTCATTTAATATTCGGCAAATCTTTCTCCGTGCCAGTTTCTCTGATCCAAAACAGGTGAGATTATCTCCAAGTCGACTGCACAATAACTCAAAACATATAACTTATAAGAGTGATTCCACTGAAATTTACATGATAAGAGTCGGATAAGAGTGTTTCAGCAGATGCAGAAAAAGGAACAATATGATTTGAAGCCCATTATACTTGCTTCCTTTTCATCACTGCTTCTTTTTTACCAAGCAAGTCGAACGCTGAGCCTGAAGACTCCTCTCTCATTTCTTTTCCTTTCATCAGTTTAAGAAGGAATTCAACGTAAGTTCAAGAAACAAGTGGACAAAAACTTAGTACAGAGATTATTTACATTGTATTGCAAACTTCTATGGATTGTTTTTAACATCTTCTCAAAAAACAAATCATTTTCAACAACACCAAATTTCGAAAACAGATTTTGAAGTTCATATGAAACACATGAAGGTGCTGGTGAAATAAAACCGATGATGAAATTTTACCTGTGTTTGCCCACTTTCCTTGAACTTTGAAATTTATTTTCTCGATTTTCCATGGGAAATTGTTTCCGGTTTTATTTCAGGCAGCTATTTATGTTTTTAGGTTTAGGAAATTTAGAAAGGACTGCAAAATACGTAAAATTATTCTGGTAAAAGGTTTTTGTCCACTAAAAACTGAAATTGCTCGATTTCCTATAGGATTTCGTCTTAAGATGATACTTGATTAAACTATAGCTAATTGGGACGTTCCCAGCCTGGTACGGATGGCAGCAATTTTTCTTCATTCGACTGGCAAGCTAATAGCCGCTCATTAAACAGTCCATCACAAAAGACCTTTTCATAGTCAAATATATTTCGTTTTCCGCCCTCCTCTACACGTTTCCTATTAATAAAATATATTTTAGTTTTCTTTCCGTGGATCCCAATAGCATTATATTCTCGGCTAATTTGAGCTTTCCATCTGTTGAAGCAACTAAATAAAGTTCAAAAATTTTCAAAGAAACTGAAAAAAACGAAACCTCGTCCTCAAAATTATAGTGTGAAACATGTACATTACCTGTGAATGGTGACAATTCACTAATCCCTGGAGTAATCCTTCTCTTCCTTAGCACAAGCTGAAGCGAATAATATGAAAATTTTGCTGAATATAACAAACCGTACGCGTAAGATCTATATCCACTGGGAAACATGCTTTTCCGCGTACGGTTCAATGTTGTAGTTCTTTGTGATTAGCGATCTGATGTAACATATCACAAATGAGAGGCTGTTTTAATTTGATCGCCTGCCGAACGCTCTGCATTGCATAAGCGCTTCGAACACCTAAATTCCATCGAATCTTATTGACTAATTTTGTTTCAGATCTTTATTTCAGGTGAGGGATGTTACAAAGGAAAATTTTGATTTTGATCGCAAACCGCCGTATGTTTCGTACGTTCGTGAGCACAGTTCAGCACCGGGGGTGCAATCCCATGCGAAAAGATCGGGGATGCTCATCATCTCGCTTAGGGGTATAAATCACTAACGGTGTTCAGGACGAAACGCCACTATTTTTAGCTATCAAAGCATCTTTTAGGACGCACTAGAGGAAATAATACAAAACTCTCTTATTTCCGTTTTCAATCGTATTTTTAAGGGTTAGATGTTGCTCGAGCCGTGCCCAAACTAGTTTCTTTTAGGAGTTCAATTCAAATATTCCCGCAAGCGTCCCCGACCTCTTCACATGGGAGCCCCCCCGGTGTTCAGTTGGTGATATTGCGATCAACTTTGATACAACGGTTTGTATGGGAATTGGGGAATCCAACGAACGTAATCAGCTGTTTTAGAAATACAGAGAAAAAATAGTAAAACACCTTCGCTCGCTGCTGTGCCGAGGCTTATGCGGTTTGAAAGTGATCACAGAGAGTTTTGTCTTTACTGTGCAGTTAAATCTGTCGAAAGGGTGCAGTGTAACTTCACGTCCTTCACCATCCGTTTTACCTCGAGGGGCTTACTCGTCCCCAGTCAGTCTTCATACATCGCACGCACCGCGTGTAGTGAAGACGACTAGAGTCGACTCAGCTCGTGGGGTGGGTACTGCCTCAAAGGCGACACGTAGGCTACAAGTAAGCAGCCGATGTTACGATTGGTTTGAAAAATTTTGGTCCAATTAATTTGGTCTTTTCTATCTACCATTATTTCCGGAGGAAAGGGGCTGTTATTGCCATAAAGATGCTTGGAATTTTCGTTAACATCAAATTTAATCATCGAGCCGGAGACTGCATGGTTTCTCAGTGTCCATAAGGTGATTTTAGACGCGAAGTCGTGAGTTGAGTTTTACAAGGAGGTATCAGGAAAACATTTTAACTATTTAACATTGATTTGGCCTCGTCATAGTTTTATCAAGCTTTATGAGCTGATTATCTGGTATTCATTAAAACTCATCCTTGGATAATGCGGCATTTGTAGTCTTCTGATTGTCTCACTGAATCTCGGTTACCAGCCGTTGTACGTGTGATCTTATAAGGAAAATGAGTACGGCAATTGTCGCTCAGCTTTAAAACGTTCGGCGGTTAACTAAAGTTCCGTCAGAAAAAATAAATGGCTTTTAAAAAACAGCAGATTTGGTCGCAATTTAACGCCGAAATACAAGAACTATTGGGCGATGCCATCTCGGAAACTACAAAAAGCCACAGAACTGTCTAGCCACGCTCGCTAGGAAAATTGCGTGACGAGCCTAAAGAACGTCTGGGTAGGGATCAACAGAATGTCACAA